ACATACATAAATATATGTACATATGTATGCCCACATATCCACAGCAAACGCGGCTGAAAGAACTTCAATAAGAAGCTTTTTTCTGCGAAATAAAATCAAATAAAAGTTAACCAACTAAATGAGCGGCAAGAAAAGTAGGAGTATACTACTTATTTATTATGAAAGATGTTTACACACACACACGTATAAGTGCTAATAAGTGGATAAGTAAGTAGAATTAGGAACACACCCTGTGGGAAACGCACTACTGCCGTACTGGTGCGGTAGTAGAGAATTTAAAACCATGAAAAGTACGTATAGTAGAAACTGCCGAATTTAAAATTGCGATATCCCAGGAAGTGTCGATTGCCCCCCGCTGCATCAATTTTTCGTTAGTCCGAACCAATCCTAAATTCAATAGATGGGATCTAGTTCGCTATAGTTCCGAACTAGTTCTAAAATCGACAGACAAAAAGTCGCATCCTTTCACAAGCCGCACAGTGTGCTTTTTGTTCACTGCACGCGAACTAATCGTAGCGCTTTCGACAGAAGCAGCATTTTGGTACGAAACATAATGGTTTTGAGAGCTAAAGTAAATCCCTTTCAATTACCCCTTGACCTTAAAAAATTGGTTAAAAGTAGTGTTCTTCGAAAAAAAACATGCTAAATACATGGGATTTATTCCAAAACAAAAAATTCATGTATTTTTTATTATACTAGTATTATAGATTTTGAGACGAGACCTTCATTTAAAAAATGCATTATTTATTAAATTTTTTTCTATTTGCATGCAGCATCCCTCACACAATTTTATATCCCTCGAACAATAAGTGCACTTCAAGACCTTTAATTTGAGTAGAAGCTTTTAGGCCGCCTAAGAGCCAATTATATTTCAATTTTAAACCAAACTTCAAACTGCTATGCTAGTTTTTACTACGAAATTATAAAAAAAACTGCGTAAAATGTCGAATGAAATTTCGAAGTTTAACTTCAGAACCGTATTAATTAAGCTCTTAAAAGGCCTTGAGACTTCTACCTTAGCTTAAATTAAAGGTCTTGAATAGCACTAAAACTGACTTGTTGGTCGAGGGATATAAAATTGTGTGAAGGATGCACAGCTGCATGCAATTCATAAAAAATGCAATATATAATGCAATTTTCAAATTGAGGGGTTGAACTTTTTTTTGGTTTTTTAAACAGTGGAATCGTGTTTCTCGTCTCAAAATCTATAATATTAGTGTACAATCGCTCGATTGTGATGAATGATCACCCGGCTTTTTGCTTTCGCGACTGCACCAAGAAAGTAGAGAGACAAAACCTTCCAAATACAACCATCTCAGCGAGCGCACACGGGGAAACGGCCACCGCAGAATAATATAAACGGACATAAATATATTTACAAATGTATGTATGTAATTAGTATAATAAAAAATCCAAAAAATATTCTTTTTTTTTAATAAATCCGTTCGATTTTGCATGTTTTTTTTCGAAGAATACTATTTTAACAAATTTTTTTAAGTTCAAGGAGTGATTGTGGCTCAATGGCAATATTTTTCCTTGAAAGGTAATCAAATTAGCGAGAAATGTAATTTTGAAATTTTAAAATTACTACGGTGTATTTTTCTCAAAAGCATATGACTCAAAACATATCGATGGCTGAGTGGAAGATCGACCTATCTCGGCAGCCAGTTCGAAAACATTCTATCTCAAAAAACTTTTCAAGAACGTCCTATTTGAAAATTCGTTTCAAAAACGCCCTATCTCAGCTGCCGATTCAAAAACGCCCTATATCAGCATATTTTCAATACATTTTGAAGTGCGATAGGGCGTTTTTGAACCGAATTTTGAGATAAGGTGTTTTTCAATAAAATTCTGAAATAGGGCGTTCTTGAAAAGTTTTTTGAGATAGAACGTTTTCGAACTGGCAGCCGAGATAGGTCGATCTTCCACTCAGCCATCGATATGATTTGTAAAAAAATAAGTCATTTATAAACAATATATAATACAATAAAATAAAATGTCTATCATACTTGGGCGTACAATATTTTTGATTCTTATCCGGCCCTGGAGCCAGCAAACGTGAATAAGGCATTTATTACCTTAGAATAAATGGAACCCCAAACTAAGTTTTTTAAGCGGCTTGACTTTCGACGCTCACGCCGACATATACCTACAACTGAACAAATTCTGAGAGCCTGATAAGCCTTCTGTGGAGTTCTATGCTTTGTCTCGAGTGCCTAAACACCTTTTCTCATTGTGCGACTGCCCAGAATTGCAACTCACATCTCGTTCTCGTTGAAGTCACGGGGTATCAAATTTCCATATACATATGTATATAATTATGTACATTTCATTCCTATAGGAACTCAGTGGAGTAATTTAATTCGGTTTGGGAAGTCGTTGAGTAATTATTTCCAATAGATAAATTAGGTTATTTAAATTTTATTCTTTATTCTGGTGGTTTTTTTATTTGCAGGCAAACATTTACCCTAAATACGAATAATTGATTTCAAACTGATATGAATACAATGTAAAGGGTTAGTAAATAGGTAAAAAGCTTTGATGGAATCAGAAATCAGCCTGCTCTTAAATATGATACGTGTGTAGTAGCGTGGGCCGAAAATCCGTTTTTTTAGAATTTTGATTGATAATAAGAAAAATTATCAATAATAATATGAAAAATATATTATGCGCTAAAAACAATCTGTGTGAAAGATGACAATTTTTGGTCAATATCTTAGGCTCGCCCAAGTCCATCAAAATTCAATGTGCTCAAAAAATAAAAAATAATAAATAAATTTTTTTACTGAAATTGCAATTATCTCCAAAAGTGTAGGTCCTACATAATTTGGTATATAGACCTTTTTTGTAGAGAATGAAAGTAAGCTACAAGGTTTGCAATGTCAGATGTAAAATTACTTTCATTTTCGAATTTTTGGTTTCACCAATCCATTTTAATTTGTTTTAAATTTTGATTTAAGTGACCTATGCTCTTCACTTAAATAAAAATTAAATCAGAATAACCATACACAGAGGTGTTACACGTTTAATCACCTGATCATTGTGTATCTGCTGCTTACTTGTATACCAGCCCTGCTTTTACAACACAGCGTGCCAAAGCTTTCAAAAACTCTCAGTACAAATGAAAGCTTTCGCTGGCCTAGTCTGTTTTACAACAACTTTTTACTCACTTAAATAAATAGCTTACTGAAACTGAAAATAATTTAAATGAGAATTAAATAACAAAATAAATTACAGGTAATTTCCACTTAAACGAGTTTAGTGAAACTGGCTGTATGGGTTGTACATGGACCACATGAGTTAGGTTATATAGCAGTCTGCCGACGTGCGCCACCTTTGATTTGATTTATGAAAATTGTGGAGAAAGATGTATCTATATAAGTTTCCAGTTGAGAGTGAGAGCCGATCTTCGATCGAAACCAATGTGAAACCCTCTCTGGCTAACTCCGACTGCAACTTCTTTACCGGAATATTGCAATGACCAGTCTCTCAAACTAAATCTAGATCAGGCTGACTACTGACTGTGGTTAAAAGAATTATATACTCCTCTACTAGCTTCGACCTTGTTGCGAAAGACGCCAAGGCCTTAAAGTCACCTGGCTATCTGAGAAAATGGCTACATACTCACCGTGACGGAGCCTTCAGCTCTAGTAAGTACTTCTGCCTGGAAAACACTTGCATAATTACGCAGATGAATTGTCCTTATTAAGCTTAGGAATTCAAATTAAACGCATTCGCCAATTCCGCGCTCCATTTTGAAGCCACCAGTGTACAGATGATATATCAAGCTTCCCGTCCCAATCCGCTCTCGTCGGAAGAACGACCCCGATGGTGCTGTGAAATTCTATTTCAAGCCGTATATAATCGGTAGCCAGTCTCATCTTAGGTGGCAATCGAGAAAATATACTGATATGTCTGATCGTTCTTTCTTTCCATATACCTAGTTCTCTAAATCTTATAGCCGAGAGTGATGTCGTGTGCACTATGTGATGCTGTATAGGAACACGGTTTGTAATAACAATGAGGGCATCCGTATGCCAAGTTCTCATTGCCCCCGTGGTCCCGATGCATGCTGCCCTCTGAACTCTGCCTAGTTTTGCATGATTATACTGATTCTTTAAGGCTATCCACCATATCAGGAAGCCGAAGCATAAGATCGGACGTACAACCACTGAGTACATCCAGAGTACCACTTTTGCATTAAGACCCCATGTCTTCAAAAAAAATGCTTACAGGAGTAATAGGTCATGCTCACTTTCTTTACTATCTCTTCAATAGCTTAGCTTAGGATCCGGTATGACTCCCAGATACTTCGCTTACTTTGATAATTAAAGGTTTTTTCCATTCAGCTTAGGTAAATCAAAGCTAGGGACCTTATTCCTGGCTGCATAGCATTCATTCTGTTTTCTCTTGGTTCGCTCTAAGACCACATTGCTCGGCTTATCGGCATAGCTCTGCCAAAGTTCCATCCATGATATCGAAGGCCATGACATGTACTACCCCCCTGGTTGAGCTTGAGTGGTACTGAGTTGTTATCTTGAAGCTGGCCTTGTAGCTGGGAAAATAAGAAATCACATTACACCAGCTTTTAAAAAAAATTGATTTTTGACTCTATTTTTTATTTTTTGCTGACAGCTCTAATCGGATACCCTATTAAGCTCTGTTGTGCAGTTATGTTATGCTAAGCCAATTTAGAAATTTTTTAATAACACACTTCCGAATTGAATTGGCACCAAACAAACAAACTATAATAATGAGAAAGTACATATGTTTTTTCTACAATTTTAACAACAATAATTGCAAAAAATTTGTGCAATACGATATGTGGGAAAAGTGGAAGACTTTTTATTAAATTGATAACTTTTTGCGTACGTACAACAAAATAAATACATTTTCACTCTACAAAAGTTGTCACATAAGTACTTAATCACTGTTCACGCATGGTTGCACTGATTGTGCCTACGTCTAAAATAAATAAACTCTGGATGTTAAAAAGTTGCATGATTTCCTATAAAAATGGAGCCATACTCGTGAACAGCATCAGTTTGATACTAACCACTATCAGTTTGAGTTAAAGCGCAATGAAATTCCATATTCTGTTTGTTTTGATAATCAGCGCACTGGTGGGCACCCTAATGGTGAGTTAGCGCCTTTAAAACTACCTACATACTTTACTCACTTGCAGCTGACTTTTATTAAGTACATTTATTTATTACTTGAACAATATTTAGCTTACCTACCTACATATATAACAACTTTTGTTCTTCCCACAGGCTGCCTCCTCGAGTGGAACACCGCCAAGTGGTCCGCCACCAAATGGCCCACGACCAAGCGGAACACCACCAAAGGGCCCACGACCAAGTGGACCACCGCCAAATGGTATGCAGTTTAGTTACATATGTGGTTTATTTAAAAGCTTACAGCTTTTAAGACTTAGTACAAAAGCTTAGAGCTTTCAGTCGTAGAAAACAAAGCTTAAGGCTTTCAGTCGTAGACAAGAATGCTTGATCTAAGGTATCAGCAGTTCCTTTACGTAATATCCTCCGCTTTTTTTAATTAACTGACATTTTGTTTCAGCTTTAAGCTCACTATATTGAAATTTTTTTTCGGCAAATCATTTGATTTTTTCCACTTATCTCTGTATCTTACCAAGCCGTCCTTTACAACATGTGTTATCAAAAATGTTTCTTTTAGATCCTAAAAGCTCAATATTTTGAAATCCATACAATTCTTTGGAACAGAGTATTTGTCAAAAAATGTTCAATCCAAGTTGAAGCTATAAGGAGTTTTTACGATTATTTAATTTTTTTTTTTTGCTGAAAGCTCAAATCTTGTTACTAAGCTTTTCATTTTCTTTCCTCTTATCTCTTTATCTTATCGATGCCGACCTTTGAAAATATTCTAAACAATTTTTTATGTTTTTTTTTAACTTTAGTTTGATAATTTTTATATACTAAAAGCTTGAATCGAAGTCCATACAATTAAATGTAACAGAAAATTTGTCAAAAACTTTCAATATCATGTTAATAGGTTTTCAAGACTTTTTACCAGGGACCGCAAATAACGATTATCCTTTGAAATTTCAACTCAAAAAATCACGCGGAAAGAGAAATGCTACGTGCATAAGGAGTAAACCAATATATTTCTTATCACTCGGAGTACCTTCAGCGGCACTGGTTTTTATTTTTAAATTTTTACTTATAAAAATCAAGTTTAATCATTATATTTTGAGTTTTATTTTTTACTCAGAAAATAATCGTTATGTTTTGAGTTTTATTTTTTGCTCGGAAAATAATCGTTACGTTTTAAGTTTTATTTTTTGCTCGGAAAATAATGGTTACGTTTTAAGTTTTATTTTTTGCTCGGAAAATAATCACAGTGATGCTTAAAACAGCGTACGTGGGCAATGGTATTAGAAGCTTTCCATACATTTTCTGTAGATGTGCATGTGCTTCATAGGCATACGTGGCTAAGCTTATAAAGCTCGAAAACTTTATATCAGCAAGGGATTTTAACAAATACGCGCTTATATTTCAGACGATCATAGAAAGCTTTCCTTTATGCACATCCATAAAAATCGAGTGAAAGCTTTAAAAAGCCTATCACGTGAGATATGCTTTAGTCGTCATTGGCCAATGTCAAAACATGGACCCTTTTTAAAGATTTATGCAGATTTTATATGACCGCACCCATTGTAAAAGCTTTCGCCGTTTTTCAAGGTTTGAAAAAAGCTCTTTAGTCACATAACTATTTTCTCACTTTTGCTTTTTTTCATTTTAGAAAATGAGCTCAAAGGTTTCCAATTCTCTTTTTTTAAGTTTGATGTTTTCAATGATCTTATCCTAGATAGAGGGTTCATCATTACAGTTACAATCTACTAGATATTGTATCTCAGGAAAAACAGACAAATTAGTAGTAAACTTTTTAATTTATATGACTTTTGCAAATTAAAGCAACGGAATTACTTTGTTTGAATTCTTTTACAATATGTGTATACTTTGTTAACATATGTATGAACGTGCTTATGAATTTCATCTGAAAGGAATTTTTTTTATTGCGAAAGTTCCATACCTACCGATATGTATTAAGCAAAGTTGCGTTTCTTTAAAATGGGCCGTGAGTATTTTTGAGTTTCACATTAGTATAGAAAGCTTGATAGAGCTCTGCTCGCACCACCAGCTTAAAGTATTTATGGATGGAGAGGGCTTTTAATATAGTAATGTACAGTACGATCTTTTACGCTCTTACCAAACGCAAAAAGCTCAACAAGTCATATAACTATGCATGTGTAATCTCTACATTTATTTTAATCTTCTATTGATTTTTCAGGTCGCGGCCCACCATCCAACAGCACCAGCTCCAGCAGCTCTGGCTAATTCCAACATTTCAGTATTTTCGGCAAAGCTTTGGACAACGGACAAATCGCTAACTAGCTTAATTTATCGCACAAATGCACCAGATTTTATAGAAAATTTTAAATTAAAATGCTGTACAAATTATTATTGTCTTTTGTTTTTTAAATGCCATTTAATTTTGTATTTAATCCTCAGCTAAACCAATCACAAGTATGCATACATTGACCAGAAATTTGGTTAATTGCCCCATTGCTTGCGTTTTTGTATTGCATATGAATTTGGTTGTCCTTTTTCATACAAAAATATTTTTACTTTTTTACTTTGCTTCCTGTTGTTATTGGCTTAATAAAACCATAAAGGTAAATTATTGTCTTTGCTGCATTTTATCTGCCGCAGTAATAAATTTCAACTTAATTATAAGCATAAAATGGTTGGTTTTGTCGATGCATAAATATGAGTACTTTCGTGTTTACATCATAAATACGTACATATGTATGCATGTACTAATGTACTTTCTGACCAAATTTTTATTGTGGATTTTTGGCCGCCAAATGTAAATGTAAATTCACAGTATGTATGACATAAAAATAAAGAAAACAAAATTAGATGTTTTAGTGCTAGCGAAAATTAAGTAAACTAAATTAGGGGATCTAAGCAGCCATGACAAAAAAAATTTGTCCTGCGAGAGAAGATTTTTTGAAGCTCTCCATCAATTTTATATGGATGCCCGCAGACTCAAAAAAACTCTTTGTTCGTAATTGGTCTTGCACGCATTATGCTGTTACATTAATATACCTGCTATTGTGTAAAGATATAGTACATAAGTCAACTGAAAGTTCCACAGAATGATTTTACGAATGAACTTAATTCTGATTTAAATGGTGGAACCGAAGTTGCACACGGAAACACTACCTTTCCGATGCAAAAAGAATTATCGAAATCGGTTGGTACATAAACAAATAAAAAAATATACATATATAAATATTCCGATGAACTGATAGCCTCCTCCTTTTTTGGAAGTCGGTTAAAAATGAAGACCAAGGTAAATTTAAACACTTTACTTATATAAATGGTGAAGGGGAGTATGTAGATGAAGAAAATGGTAAACATAAAAGTAAAACCAAAGATAAATATAAAGAAAAAGATGAGGATAGCATACCGATAAAAGTGAAGATGAAGATAGAGGAAGAAAGATTTAAAATAAAGGGAAGTATAGAGAAAAGGATATAGATAGAGACACAGAGACTTTCGGGATTCTTGGGACTTACCGATATAATAATCGATATTTTCATAGGTTTTGTTATCGAAATTTTTATCGATATTATTATCCATTGCGCTATCGATATTTTCGGAACTTATCGATATAATAATCGATATTTTTATCGTTTCTGTAATCGATATTTTTAACAATTTTGTTATCGATATTTTTATCGAGCACGTTATTGGTTTTGTTATCGATACTTTTATCGAATTTGTTGTAGATACTTTTATCGATTTTGCTATCGATATTGTTATCTATTATTTATCGATTTTGTTATTTATTATTATTTATCGATTTACTATGTATGTATATTGGTTATGAGACAAAATAGATATGTGTGTAACGTAAGTTTCACTTCTCCAGTGTGGCCCAGGCGTGCTTGGTTTTTTTCTTGTACGAGACTTAACTTTTACATTTATGCAAATCAAACTGTAAAATATGTGGTTTCCGTGTACGTATGGTATTAGTATAACATAGAAGATCCAAAGGTTAATCAACTCAACTCAATAACTCAAAACTGATAAATTTGCACATTCCTCAGTTCCCTATTTAAATATATCTCGCACATGCATACATATCGCTTTGAGTATGAGGCGATTACACGGGAAAGCAATAGTAAAAGTAAATGGATATGGATAGTGTTCAAGTGGCTTATGTAGTATTTCTCAAATAATATATCGTCGTTTAAAGTACAAAACCGCGTATCGTCATTCTGAAAAACCGCGTAACTAACATTTGCTGCCAAAAATTGGATTTACTCACACAAGCTCTTGGCTCAATGCCTATCCAGTTGTCCTGAAATATACTATCCAGAAATGCGAATGCTTTATAAAAAAAGAAAACCATTTTGAAATATGAGTTTTTTTACTCTCTAGAAAATTGTTTACATAATTCACATACGTGGTTTTACATTTTGTAGATACGCGCTTTTTACTTTAAACGACGATATGTATAATGCATAAAAATGTACAATATAACATTCCTGTTTAACTTGCATTAAATCAAGTATCTGCTCTTCTCAAATGTCATTATCCATATCAGTCCCAATTCCGACTCAATTTTGTTGTGCATCAGACTCCATCCTTTTAGTTTAGTCATTTTTGAAAATGCGTTGCGCTCGCTACTTTTTTCGAGTTCACATATCCAGGAATGCGTTCTGTCTAAGATTCTAAATATGCTTGATATCCCTGTGTGATGCTTTTTACAAAACGTGTATCTAGAAAGCAGTTATATTTTGAATGCTAATGATACCAACAAAAACGGTTACTCTTATTAAGGAGACGGGATATTTATTATCCTGTACATTTGATCTCCAAACTTCCTCCATGTGCCTGAAAGCTAACATAATCAAAATTTTCTTTATTGATTACGTATAAACAAGCATAAATCTTCCACAAAGTCATTATTGTGGAGAAATGTGATATTAAGTTGTCGAAAAGGGCTTTTCCGCTCCATTGGCAATTAAATCTGGTTCTACTTATCAATTAAACTAATTTCAGAATTGCAGTCTTACTCTTTAACGGTGATGAGCATTTCAAGCATACATACATATATAGATAGTTGGAACATACGATTCTTGAGAATTGCATAAACCGTATACCTCACTCCACTATATACATATACGTACACTCTTGTTTTTAACCGACTTCAAAAAAAGGAATGTTACCGCATAACTTTGGAACACGTCAACCGATTTCGATATTTCTTTTTCAGTCGGAAAGGTAGTGTGGTCCCATACTAATTTGGCTTAGAGCCGCTCATTGGATCATGAAGAAATTAACGGTACTCCTAAATATGAGAATTGAAATCAGTTGCGTTTTTTGCTTAAAAATTATTTGTTTTAAATATTTTTTTCATACCTTATGTGGAGAAAAATGACTAGAGCCGTCAGCAAAAAAAATTATTAAAAATCAGCGCGATTTTTAGTTACTTCAAATTTGAACATTGTTACACTAGAATTGAGTGGGTTATAAAACTGCATACCAGATATTAAAAAGAAAATCTAAATAAAAAGTTTACAGGTTTGAAGAAAATTAGTTGAATTTTCCTAAATTTTGTACAAAGTTTGAAACTTTAATTCATATGGTTTTGTTTATAGCATGAACCATATTTTTTTTTACACAGTTACAGCTTGCAAAACATTGTGAATATAAAATAAAAAACAAAGGTATACGCAGATATAATGGAGTGAGCGTACATAACCAGACTTTGGCTAAGCGGATAAAAGCAAAAAATAGCGAAGCACAATGGCCGGGCTTCTGCTTCGATTTTTTGTGTGCGCCTTGATTTTACTACGCAAAACACTGTACCTTTCGAGTGTTAGTGCACATCATTATTCACTCCGACCACGGCAGTAGAGCTGTCAAGCTATCGATAGTCAAGTTCATCAATGTTTTACGATAGTCTGTCTGATAGGGTGACTATCGATACTATCGATAGTATCGACCCATTTCATATGGTTTTCTAAATCCATTTATTTTTCGTAAAATGGCGCTTTTAGAAATAATGCCATGAACCAACTAAATAGATCACCCAGTACGGCAACCGCGTATTTCTAATTGCATTTGAGAAAAAAAAAATGTTGATAACGTAATTTTTTAATCGGTTCTTTCATTCACACACATGGTTTCATTCCGTTTCATTCACATGGCGGCGAAAAAATGACGTCACTGCAAAATAAAAATACTTTTTTCTCGCACACCATCCTGGGTAATCTTTGTTGATTCGTTCATGAAATAATGCTGCCAATTTTTGTTTTCTTTGAACCAATCCGTGCAAATATCAAAAGCGCTAGGAAAGAGAATACGCTATCAATGAAACCATAGTGGCGATAGTACTAAAACTATCGATAGGTACACGGTAGTACCTGCTATTAATTTCGAGATTTCTTTAAGTGGAGCCCAAACCTTTGCCACTTGGAACAAACGCAATGGAAATTGAGCAATTTTTTTTACTTGATTCCAGATGGATGGACCAGTTTTTCTATAAGTGCCGTATCGTTAACTAGTTTACCAGCTTTTTAAATCAGTTTGTATTGCATTTTTGTTCGATTAAAAAAATGGATAGCTAAAAAGTGGATGTGCTAGTGTTTGGCCGAGCTTTTCCTCCGGTTTGTGGCACCAGCCTTGTATTTCTATGAGAAGCTTTTTGCATATTAGAAATATACTCGGAAGTTTGCCGTAGCCTGCCGTGGAGATTTTTTTTATGAAAGTCAGCTCATAATACATCTGATACAAAAATCTTCAGGTGAGGAATCTTCTCGTTTCTCCTCGATATGTTATCCACAGTAACGCTGTCCCGCAATTAAGAGCAAGAATTTCGATAGTACACTGTAGGATCTGTTCAGTAGTTAGTTGGCCGTTATGCAGTTGTGTGATATACATACATATATATTACCGGCCAAACCCGACCTTACGACAAACTAATTTAACAGCCCTTTTCCCATGCAATGAAAACTTTGCTTAAATGACTGTTATCATCACTAATACACCCAAGATATGCCACAAAAAGTAACATTTTAGCGCTTAGTAAATGCTGTCATTTCCTGCGATTAGAGCCATAAGTTTAGTTTTGGCCATGGTTGAATAATAACAAGGTGTTGTCAGTTGCGACGTGTTTGTTGTGATTTTGACAAGATCGGCATGCTTATTTTCAGTGCTGCCGATCTTCATTTTTATACTACTATTCGTTGGGAAATAGTATCTAAAATACTCCATTTTAGTAATTCGTTTTATCGCGATTCAGAACAATATTAATATTTAAAATTGCTGCATTTGTATAATTCGTGTCCTAAACAAGTAAAAAAATAAAAGATATCGTGGTTATCAATGGAAAAAAGTACACAAAAAGTACTTTAGAATAGAGTGGATGCATGGTAAATTTA